AGAAGCCACAGCTGATGAACTGACTGAAACCCCCACTCCCCGTCTCCCTTCACTGTCAGTGAGAAGGAAGGAGGGGTGAGGGTACGAGATGAGGTAATATTTTGCTGAAGCCAAAAGCCTGTTAAGTGAAAGCTGATGATTCTGTGTGGTGTTGTTTGTGGTTTGGATTTATTCTGGTTGGTTTGTTGGGTGTTGCTGGGAGGGGGACAGAGTTGAAGACCTGACCAAAAGGAAGCAGGATGAGACAGGAGGGGACAGAAAAGTAGGCGGTTGGGAGATAATGTAAGTCCCTGAGTACTCAGCCAATGGGAAAGGGGTCAGGGACGCCCCCTAGATGGGAAAAGGATATGTTTTGTAGCCATTCTGTTGGAGGGTATGTGTGTTGGGCTCTAAGGGAGTGAGGTACACATCCAACTCAGTTAAATCATTACTAAGAAACAGTTTTCTTTTGCTTTGACAAAAATTTGTCCCCATTTAATTGTATCTAAAAGTTAGTTCATTTGTAACAAGGGGAAGGTGTTTTCAAGGTTCTTACTGAATTTCTCATTTTCTGCTCTGATTTTGTTAGTAATAGATTCAATGCATATCTCTAAGCTGATATGCATTTGGGGAGTACCAGTTTTGCCCATGATGGTATTTGATGAACGATCTCTCCCCATCCTTACCTCAACCCATGGACCCTTTACTATAGTTTGTCTCCCCCATCCAGCTTCAAAGGAGAGAGCAGCTTTGGTGGATGCATTTGACCATTACACCAGGGGAGCAAAAATATGCCAGTCACCAGCCAGGAGAGCCCCTGATGCCATGGCTGCTCCAATGTTGGGACATTGTGTCTCATAGTATGAAACTAGGTGGTAATAAAACAAAGCAACTGGAATCCCTGTCACAAGAGGCAGGTATTGACAAAAGGATTGGGAAGGGGACAGAAACTCTCAGCCTTTGGAAGTGACTCCTGCCAAGCAGAGGGAAGGGTAGTCTCTCAAGGATGATCTAATAGTGTGGTGGAATACCATGGAGAAAGGTATCCAGTATCTGAGAGCATTAGCTGTGCTAGAGGTACTTTATAGAGATTCAAATAAAGAGCAGTCCTCTGTAGCTCCAGATGAGGTTCAGTGCACACAGTTCATGTGGTGGAAGTTTGTGCAGAGCATGCCATCATCATACACCATTGACATTAATGGCAATGGAAGAAGGAGAACAAACAGTGCTTCAGGTGACTACCTGACTCTGGCAATATGAAGATCATGTTTTTTCCTCCCTATCAACCTGCACCTCAGCTGTGGAATGACTGTCCAAGATGGCAAACAGATTTGAAAGACTTGAACAAGCTAGGGAGGACATGTCCCAAGGCCCAGAGTCCTTGCTATGGGTTAGCAATCACCCGCTTGCTCAAGAGGGAGGGCACACACCATAAGGTAACCTGTGGTTTTACTTGCATGGCCATGGAGAGGACATGAGGAAGTGGAATGGAAAACCCACCTGTGCCCTAGCAGCATGGGTACATGAGTTGAGAGGAAAAACAACTACCACAGAAAATCCGCCAAGGATAAGTTTCCAGTTTCTACTCCAGTTTCCAGTAGAAAACAGGAGGGCCGATGTTGCTTCTAATGCACTTGAAGTACTTCCAGTTCAAATTTGTGAGCAACAAATACCATGACCAGAACTGGAGAGGTCCTGCCTCCAGCAAGGTGGAGGAAAGGGACAATTGGATCTCTTGGATTGTGTGGATCTGGTGTCTTGGCACACAAGACCCACAGGAGTTTAAGGCTTTAGTTGAGACCCACACCAGAGCACCACGTACCCTCATGCTACCAAGATATGTAGGGGCAGAATCCATCTCTGCTTCTGGGGTGACAGGGGATCCCAAGGGCTGCCTGTACTGGAAGGTGTACTTAACTTGACTGGGTATTGTGAGAGACTGGAGGGGATTGCTTGCTCAAAACATTCTGTGTGTGCGTGTGGGTGGGCAAAGGGGCAGGCTGGGCCTTGCCCTGGTGAGGCAATGCCCTGCTCCACACACCCCATCCTCTAGAGCCTGTATCCCAGCCCCATAGAGACTGTCAATCACAGGCACACGGGAGGCAATGCTCCTCCTCCTGTCTCTGAAGCCCCTAACCCAGCTCCTGAGTGGCTGCCAAACCAGATGTCTTGCCTGGAGGAAGGGCCCAGGAACACCAAAGGGTAGTTAAGCCAGGACACCAGGCAAGCATATGTCTTGACCCTACCTTCCCTTGGATTTTTTATCAGCTAGAAGACTGCTGGAAACTAGCAGTGGTAGCCATATTCATTCTTTTCTGCATCTTTTCTCTCTTTTTCTCTTTCCTCTCCTTCTTATAATGCCTTCTTCTCAAAGTTTGAGTAATTTAAATTTGGGTTAGCTGGAGTTTGCTAAGTTGGTCAGGCTTAGAGTTTGCTAAGTTAAGGCTTTGCAAAACATTTTATGTTGACTGAATGTTGTTCTAAACTTTTGCCGAAGTTCTCTGATTTTCTGAGATTTGCCAGTAAAATTTTTGTTGTTTTCATCTCTTGAGAATACTTTGTTGGTATTTCTTCCTTGCATCTAATTCATGGTACATAAAAAACCTGCAAGCCCTTTTAAAAGACTTGTCGAGTGAGTTCTGGGGTCTTATATGAATGAATGTAAAAACCACCCCATTGTGATGGGCCAGAGGTCTTGTACATCCTTGGCATAGACTACCTCAGCAGTGGGTATTTCAAGGACCCAAATGGACATGCAGTACACCTGGAACCAACTGCCCAGGGGTGGAAGCACATTCCTACAATTTGCCATGGAACGATTCAGACTACACTGGAAAATAGTGAGGTTTCTTATCACTTGTAATATATTGATGACATTACTGTATGAGGCAACCAAGCAGAGGAAGTTTTTGAGAAAGTGGAGAAGATAATCCAAATCCTCCTGAAGGCTGGTTTTGCCTTAATGCAAAGTAAGGTCAAGGGACCTGCCAGGAAATCCAGGCATTAGGAATAAAATGGTAAGATGGATGTCATCAGATTCTCATGGCCACGGTCAACAAAACAGTATCTATGTCTCCATCAACCACCAAGAAGGAAATGCAGGTTTTCCTAGGAGCTGTGGGCTTCTGCAGAATGCATATTCCAAACCTCAGTCAGGTCAAAAGCCCTCTATAGGTTATGATGCAGAAGAATAATTATTTTAAGCGGAGTCCTGAAAAATAAGCTTCTGAACAAATGAAAGAAAAGATTGTTCATGCAGTAGCTCTTGTGTCAGTCAGGACAAGACAAGATGTGAAAACTGTGCTCTATACTGCAGCTGGGGAGAATGGTCCTTCCTGGTGTCTCTGCAAAAAGTATCAGGGGACACTGGAGGATGATTCCTGGGATTCTGGAGTTGGGGATAAAAAGGATCCAAGGCCTGCTACACAACAACTGAAAAAGGGATGCTGGCATCTTATGAAAGGTTCAAGCTGTTTCAGACGTGATTTGCACTGAAGCACAGCTTCTTCTGTCACCCCGACTACCAGTGCTGGGCTTTTTCTTTCAAGAGAAATTCTCTTCAAACACATCATGCCACTGATGCTACATAGAGTGAGTGAACTGAGCTGATCATACAGTGAGCTTGAATAGGAAACACCAAAAGCTCAGGGATCTTGGAAGTCTTAATGAACTAGCATAAAGGTGATCATTTTTTATTAACATCAGAAGAGGAGGAAGAAAAGGTGACATGTGCTGAGGAGACCCAACCATATTATCAGCTACCATAAACAAAAAAGTGATACACTCTCTTCACTGACAGATCCTGCTGTATTGTAGGGATACATCAAAAATGGAAAACTGCCATATGGACTGCTGTACAGCTAGTCACGGGAGCTGAGGGAAAAGGTGAATCAAGTCAGGCTGTAGAGCTGAAAGCCTCTAGCTGGCTTTTAATATCATTCAACAAGAGAAATGCCCAGCACTCTGCCTCTGCACTGACTCATGGATGATGACAAATGCTCTATGGGAGTGGCTGGATCAATGCAGAAAGGCCAACTGGCAGCATGGAGGTAAACCCATCTGGGCTCCTGGAGGAACAACCCTTGACTAGGGAAATGATACCTCTGCTTATATATATGTATATACATATATATAGTTGGATCTGGGCATGTAGTGGCATATAGTGTAGGATCTGGGCATGCTATAGATGGTACAGAACAGGATAATGTCTTGGTTCTGGCCAGGACAGGGTTAATTTTTGCAGTTGCTAGGAAGGGCCATGGCTAGAACCTGGATATTATTCCATTATACCACCTCATGTCATTGCCAGGTTTGAGGGAGGGAGTCTCTTCCAGTCGAGTAAGTGTGGCAGAGGGCATACTCAGGTTATGGCTGTTCTCAGGGGTTTTCCATGGGAATTGTTCATTTCTTCTACCCTCTGTCATTAGCACTGTTGCTGTTACTCTTTGTTTTCTTATCCCACTGCTGTTTCTAGTAAATTGTTCTTATCACAACCCATGACATTTACCTTTTTTGTTTCCAGTTCTCCTCTCTAGGAGAGGAGGGGAGAATGAGTGAGTGGCAGTGGTTTGGAGAGTGTCACTGGGACACTAAATTGGATAGTACCATTCCTAAACCAAAACATCACGTTACATTTAAGAGGTAAAGGGTGGGAAGCAAAAAAACCACTTTAATGACCTGGCCTAGAAGACAAATGCAAAGGTAAGGTGGTGCATCAGTAGCTTCTGGATCAGAGTTGAAGGGAGAAACCAAGAGGTGAAGACTCTCAAAGAAGTGCAAGTTAAAAGCATAATTTAAGCCTGTAATTATTTAAGGAGAAGAGACATATGAGAGAAAGATGGGCTGCAGTAAGATAAGTGTAAGGTGGAAATCTGTATCTCCTGGACCCAGAAACTGCCTCAGACACCAGCTAATTTTACAAGATAAGTTACATGCATGCCCACATTCAAGAGGGCAAGAGCGAAACCTTGATGGCAACGCTATGATTCTGGCTGAAGAGCTTCATTTTCCCCCTCCCATACCTGAAAGCCTTGAATCCTTGCCAAATATTCCAGCTGTTTTGAAGGCTGCACTGTAGAACAGGGGGAAGTAGGAGATACTCCTTTTAGACCTATGGCTTCGGCAGTTGGGGACGTTCCATTCATGAGAAGTTCCCTGGCAATGGTGGCCGTGCTATTTGTGGTAGGAGATATGCTGAAGAAAGAGCTGGAAGTCTGGCTCATTTCTTTGGGTGACATGTAGCTTACAGTGGTACCAGGGGCTGACTTGTTGCGGCTTGCTTCCATCTCTTGATATACATCAGGAGAGAGATGGAGTATTCCCTTTGGTGCTGAAAACAAAACCAAAGATCATTTTCATTAGTTTAGAATGGGTTTGACATGTAGACAATTTTAATTAACATATTTTACAGTGAAAAACAAAGCAAGAATTTAGAAGCAGTATTTTTTTACAGTAACTGTAAATGAAGTCGCCTAATATATTTAGAAACAAAGCAGATCTGAAGGGGCCCTCTTCTTCCTCTTCCCCAACTCTTTTTAAAATGGTACAAACCCTAAATTTAAAACTAAACTGTGGCTAGCATAGAACACACAGTATGAACAAAACATATTTGAAGACCTACAATAAGAACAGATGTTACTTCAAAATAGTAGCACAATCATTATTTCCCTACATTCTTCCACCTGCTATCTGATACAATAATTTAGGCTGTTTTTTCGCAAATAATTGAAACTAGTCTATATCAGCACTGTTGCCACCAGGAGTAATTTAGTTTTTTTCTCTCACTTGCAGCTAGTGTTTGTACTCCCCAGCTGCTCTATTGCCAGCACCAGCACCTGTAGGACCATGTAGGGATATCCATGAGAATGAGCTGCTGGAGGCAAAGGAAGGGCAGTGTGGCTCCTTGCAGTAGCAGCAATGCCTCAAGTGCTGGCTCAAAGTGCTGAATCACAAGGGCAGCCTGTGGTTAAAAAAATCTTAAATTTCTCTGCAGCCACAGTTACAGTGCTAATGACTCTGATGTGGCTGACTGCTCCTCAGTGAAGAGGAATTTATTTATTTCTTTATTTAGCTGCATATCCTATAGTTTTCAAATAGTTACTTGCCTTTGAAAACATTTATACTGAAAACGGAAAGAATATATGTGTCCTACTTAATATCAATAGGAGTTAAGGTAAACATTAAAATAGCTAGATTTATTTTTATGAAGAACTTTTAAATATTTCCAGTGAGATGTAAATTAGGGATAATTTATCTACATTTAAACATTTTGAATACCTTTTTAGAGAATATCTCAATCCTAAACTTGCTTGGAAACAGAAATACATACTTGATCAGTTTTGCTGATAGTCCTCTGCATGGAAATGTGCAGAATTAAGTCTGAAGTTTGCTAGTTTTCTTACACAATCAAACATTTTTTGGAAACACAACCAGTTGGCTGATACTAGAGGGAAACCTTTTTCTTATTATTAATGCATCAGTAAATGAGCTTGAAATGTGTAATTTCATATTAAGAACATACTTTAATCTTCTACCATATAATATGAGTGAACCTGAGCCATATGGCATTTCATTCTAGGGATAATAAACCTGTTTGTTAACTGATTTAGTAATCCCAAGAGAAATCAAAGGGTTCAATGTTTAATTCATTTGCAGTACATATTAAATTAATCTCAGAAAGTAGAATAAATTCAAAGAAGAGGAGGAAATTAATTTCCAGTATGTAGGAAAGATTCCTTTAATCCTAGAAGTTCAAGTAGTACTTTTAAATAAAATGTCTACCACAAGGAGAAGACTCAAAAAATATTACCTGTAATTAATATCCTCATTTTCAACTACATGGTGAAAATGGAACTTCCTCACTGCTGACTCAGCAAACTGCTTACAGGTGAATCTTTTAATTGATTTACTCATACATTTGGCTTTTAAATTCATATTGCTTTTAGAAATCTGGAACATCTGCTATATAATTTACAAAGATGTATCTGTTATTCACCTGATTGCTCTCCCCACCTACCTCCTGGGGAGTCTGGTTGGATCCTGAACATTAAGGCTGCTTTTACCTAGTTTAGAACTGGCTCCAAATGCAGTAGACTGAACTCCAGAGCTGAACTTTAGAGCTAAGCACAAATTCAAGACAATTCTACTAGGAAAGATGGAGGATAGGATCCCTAAAATTTCTTTTTCTTCATCTGGGACAATTTCAAACATAATCTAATAGATAAACAACTATGTAAATACATAGCATTATTTTATGGCACACAATCACTACATGAGAAGAGTGACTTTACACACTTTTCCTGAGGCTGTAACCTCCAAGGCCTACCTCTGCCTGTATTTTTAAAGTCTTACACAAGACGTAAGATTAATGAAAATTTAAAAAAAAAAAAAAAGATAATACGGATCTTGATAGTTGACATTAGGTTACAAAACCAAACAGCAGTAAAAATACTGAGTGGAAGGTGTTCACCACCTCCTAAGAACTGCCCACTGTAAATCCGATTTCCCACGAATATTTCAGAAACAGAAATGTAAACTGAACAAAAGATAAAACAGTCTACTTGTTTAGAAATAACATGATATTAGCCCCCCCAATAAATTTTAGAAAAACATAGTACAATGTTAACTTTAAAAAAAGTTTAAAGAAGTTTAAAATCAAGTCCAGTGCTGCAGATGTCTGTTCCATTGATGTAATATTACTTAAAACAAACATTTTACATGCTTTCTCAGCCATTTCACTGTTTTTACATGATCCACCCAAATATCTAACTGCTGTCTGGAACAATGGTTTGGAATAATTCCAGATTACTAAGCTTTCTAAATGTTAAAATAACTAATATGCAGCATATGATGAATAGAAAGATATTGAGCAGAGTATAGCAAATGCTCTTAAAGTACTGACTTTAATGGTGATGTTACATTAATAATACTACTTTTACACTTTGCAACACCTTACTGCTAAAGACTTCAAAGTGCTTTATAAGCAATAATTAATTTAAATCATACATTGGCTCTGAGAGGCAGATATTATATTACCATCATTGATTATCTCTGGAAACAAAGTAATGTAATATTCTAGACATTACATTAATGTAGTTGCAAGATATTAACTTTTTATATTCAGGGCCTATGTTTCATGAAGCTTCTTACAAACATGTTTTTAAAAGCCAATAAAAACTTGGTCTCTTTGAAAACTTCTATAAAACATATTAATTGTAATTCATTATGTATTTTTAATGTATTACTAAGGTTATTTTATATATCATTCTTCACCATTGCCTGCTTACTTCAATTCTGCTGCATTATAGGAAAGTGTATAAATATATTTAGTTACAGTAGTAGAGTTAGCAAATGACAAGGGATACAACAACAACAGAGGATTAAGTGCAAGAACAAAAGAACCCTTCAGAAATTATCTTAATTTGTCTTCTAACAATCAGTTGATTAAAAAGCAGGGGAAAAAGAAATACTATCCTCTAACACATTTATGCATTGCAGGAGAACATATCCAGGCAAACATTTTCATTCTTTTTTATTTTTCATCTAAGAAAAACTTTTGTGTCCACTAAATATTTATCCTATACAAGCTTCACCATACTCCACAGGAAGAATTGTAATTACTAGGAGTCCCAGGATCTATAATAGACCAACAACGCTGCACCTTCTGGTGGACATTAACTTAGAGGCACATTTATGAAACATGTTAAAATAATTTCCATTTACATTATTTAAACCTGTGGGCAAATGCATTACAAAAATATGCAGGCTAGCTATGCAATGTAATCACTAACATTTAAAAAACATGTCTTACTCATCATTGGCAGTAATTGTTTGCAGTCTCTCACAATCTTCTGAAGTCTATGAAAACACACCAAAGAACTTTCTTACCTAAGAATAAATTTCTTCATTTTCCATTGTCTACTTCTGCTGTCACATATTAGATAATGGCAAAATAGCTAAAAGGCAAATGTATGAATAAGATACAAGATGGCCCAATGATCCTTCATGTGCTTTGCCTGGAAATATAATCTCAGCGCTTTGATTTCACCTTTTTTTCACAGCAGCCATAATAGAGATAATCCCTGAAAGTTCTGTTTAAGTGATATTATTTTTATCCCTAACTCCTTCTGTTCCGTGTCCCCTGGGCTGGGAAGACATGAGGACATTTCTACAAATGGGTCCTCCACTTTCTGGAGTTTGTGGTAAACAAAACTAACCATTAGAAAAACTGTCTGCATGGGTATGGGGTGAAGAACAATGACTGAGAATATTACTAACAAGCCTCAATGTAATAAGACTCTGCAAAAATGGAATTTGCTGATACAGGAACAGTGACAAGTTACCCCACAGCAGTGGGCTACTAAATTAAGAAAAGTTCAGAGTGATGACAGCATTGCCTGCACACTCAGAGCTATTAGAGCCTACACAGGTACCTATTTCCAATTTTCTGTTTCTGTCAGGAAGATGAGAAAACATTAGAAGTTGAGGTTTCAATTTTATCATTCAACTCCACAAGATGGCCTACAGAATCAGGCTTGTGTTGTCAATCTGCATATACATATATATATGTCAGTGCTACTTTTCTCTTTTATACTTAATCAGGAGTGTAGGGATACTATTCCTCTGCCTTCACTCAATGACTTTTCTGGTTCAGGGGCACTCACTGACTTTTCACATTTATACTTGGTCTAAACCACAACTTTATTCTTCCTCGGATAATACAGTTTTCTCCCCAGATTTTTGCTTATCCTACAAAAAAGCTATACTTGTTCATGTGTCAGAAGCAGTGCCAGCTGCAATGGCTTCCCTGACCCTGCTAAGAGCACATGTTCTTCCCTGCACTACAACCAGTGATATGGGACATGGCACAGAGGAGTGTTTTCATGTCTTGTGCAATGATGCAGAGTAAACAATGGTAAAATTATGTATATGATATGCTCTTGAATTAAGTTTAGCACCCTCGTATTTGAAATAACCCATCACTAGATGAAGAAAAGACTGTTCATAAGGAAATAATCAGTAGTTTTGGAACTAAATAAAATACTTGATAGATAATAATCAGAAAGCTTTCTTTCATATTATGCTATCTGTAGTCACATTGAATAAAGCCTTCCTATAATGTGGTACACAAAGTACATGGAAAAATCTTGCAGTAAGGCTGTAAGAAGGAAAAGTTAGAACTGGATCTAATCCTGTACACTATTTTTGTACACTAATTTTGTACACTAAAATGGACAAGAACTTAAGAGGCATAGGGGATACTCAAATGCAATGATTACTCCCTAGAACTGATAGGTTCTCAACAGGCCCTATAATATGGCCCATTACAAA